CCTCCCTCCCTCCCTCCCTCCCTCCCTCCCTCCCTCTCTCTCTCTCTCTCTCTCTCCCCCCATTGTGCTCAAATTGTCTTTCCATACTATATGGTGCAGATTGCAACACGTTCAGGCTACATGCTTCAGGTGTTTGCTGACATTAATACAATCAAGTGAGTCCAGAGATATTTCACAATTACAGTTCTCTTCTCCACTGCTTGCAACAGAATACCTTTTGCCACCAGAGTTGAATTTTTTGGGGGGCTTAAACAACTTAGAACTAGGCTGCCTTCAGTCTGACCTAAGTGGAGTACATAAAATTATCTGCTACAATTTCCTACCTGTCAACAACTACTTCTGCTTCAACCACAACAATACAGGAGCACACAATAGATACAAACTTAAGGTAAACCATAGCAAACTCAATTGCAGAAAATATGACTTCAGCAATAGAGTGGTCAATGCCTGGAATGTGATACTCGACTCTGTGGTTCCTTCCCCAAACCCACAAAACTTTAACCTTAGTCTGTCTACTGTTGACCTCACCCCATTCCTAAGAGGTCTGTAAGAGGTGTGCGTAAGCGCATTAATGTGCTTACTGTCCCTGTCCTACCAACCCCATTTATTCGTAGCCATTTCATGCATTCATAAACGTATGTACTTATATCTATTATCTTATACACGCTTGACAAAACAAACAAACAAATAAATAAAAACATAAGCATTGCAATTGTCAGCTTAGGAATTTCCCTAGATTTCCTCAGCTGCCTGATGCACTGGATTGAAATTCAAAACAAGCAAACCAAAAGCCCACGTCATGTTTATGAAATTTATTAGCCCTAAAAAAAACCTGAGTGCTGAAGTTAGAATGGAGCTGTAGCCAGTGGTAGGTTCTTTGGTGGTTATTTGTTTATTGCAGGGCTTCCCAAACTCTCTGTCACCCAATACCTCTTATCAGAAAATCCTTTTTACTTCATCTAAGTAAAATCCTGTCAGTCAGTTTAAATATCCTTGTTGTGATTGGGAAATGGGTTCATGGGTCATTACCCAGAGAAAAAGCACTTTTACCCAATTCTGCGTAACTCACCTAACTTTGAGAAGCAGAGATATCCTGTCACATTTTCCTTTCCAACTATTGGAAGTTTCTTCCATCCTCAAACAATTCCCACTTAACCCATAGACAAGCATAGGTGTATTTTCAGTTATCCCTTGCTTGTCACTCAGGAACCCACATCCTTCTACTTCACAGCCTTCTTGGCTGAGGATGATGGGTGAGGAAACCCTCTGGAAGACACCAGGTTGGGGAAGCTCTTTAAGCAGCCTTGTTGGCTGAGGATAATGGGAGCAGAATCTAACCCCTCTGGAAGATACCAGGCGGGAAGTCCTTTAAACAGCTGAGGGTGATGGAAGATACCTGAATGGGGAAGCCCTTACCCAGGTTGGCTGAGGATGATGGGAGGAATCCAGCCCCTCTGGAAGATACCAGGTTGGGGAAGCTTTTTAAACAACCTTGTTGGTTGAGGATGATGGGAGCAGGAGCCAACCTGTCTGGAAGATACCTGCTGGGGAAGCCCTTACATTATAGACCTGTTGGCTGAGGATGATGGGTGGGAAACCCTCTGGAAGACACCAGGTTGGGAAAACTCTTTAAGCAGTCTTGTTGGCTGAGGATGATGGGAGGAGTAAAACCCCTCTGGAAGATACCAGGTTGGGGAAACTTTTCAAACAGCCTTGTTGGTTGAGGATGATGGGAGCAGGAGCCAACCTGTCTGGAAGATACCTGCTAGGGAAGCCCTTACATTATAGACCTGTTGGCTGAGGATGATGGGTGGGAAACCCTCTGGAAGACACCAGGTTGGAGAAGCTCTTTAAACAGCCCTTTTGGCTGAGGATGATGGGAGTTGAGTCCAACTGCTCTGGAAGACACCAGGTTGGAGAAGCTCTTTAAACAGCCCTTTTGGCTGAGGATGATGGGAGTTGAGTCCAACTGCTCTGGAAGACACCAGGTTGGAGAAGCTCTTTAAACAGCCAGTTGACTGAGGATGATGGGAGTTGAGTCCAACCCCTCTGGAAGACACCAAGTTGGGGAAGCTCTTTTAACAGCCCTGTTGGCTGAGGATGATGGGNACGGCCATATGAGTTAATTCTATTTTATTTCAAAAAGGCATTGACAAAATCTAGCAAAAAAACTTGAGGATGAGCCCTACTGGACTCAGGGCACTGACTCACTGAAGGCAGAGGCAGCTTAAAGTCGAGTTTATGGAACCGCTTAAGTACTCCTTACTAAAGTCCCACTGCTTTCCGTCAGTTACGGAGTGTGCACTTTCTGTCAGCATGCACAGAACGGGCCTGTCAGTTTCTTTAGTCAGACTGGAGCAGAACTGGTATTAACTCTGTATCAGAATGGGAGCTTGGGAAATTGGTGGGAAATGCTTTCTCCACTTGTAATTATTTATACAGCGATAAATATTTTAGATGAAAGCAATGAGTGTACTGCTAGACAGAAAATAAATCAGCATGCTTGTTTATGGGTTAAGGGCTGGGCTGGCTGCACTACATTGATGAGGCTTATCAACAGCAAGAAAAGAGGGGCAGGGCAAAACAGGTACTGTGGGGACTTTATGTGAATGCCAACAAGCGGCAGATGGGAAATCACAAATATTTCAGATTAAATATAAAATATAAGGAGAAACACTAAGAGGAAAACAATATTTCACACATCTGGCTGGTGAGAGCTAAAAAAAAAAACTAATATCATCTAGACCTGGATAGAGATTTCATTGAAGTCAGTGAAATAAAATTCAAATCAGTGTGTGGATTGTTACTTTACTGTTTCACAGCTAGCCTGAGCATTATGTGCATTTACATAAATTGTATGCTTTGCACTGCTATGTATACAGTATTATCTTCTGAGAGGAGGCCTTTTCCTGCGTTAATTGGAAACTGGTCACCCACTGCGGCATCCCAGAGTGTGTAAAGAGTGAGTAGAGCCACATAGTAGTACTGGAAGTGCAAATGTGTTTCGTTAGTAGTTGCTGTTTCTTGCAGATAACAAAACTGTGGGTGATGAGACCCTGAACCAATGGGCATTGGGAAGTTAGTTCAACAGCACTGAAATGACTGAAGAATGAGCAAAATATAAGGAAAAAGTATCTCACATCTTCCATCCACCACAGGTCTTGTCCACCAACAGTGGATTAAAGATTGGTGATCTTCTTAACCAATGGAATGACTGTAGCAGATAAAGAGTTGACTAAACCTAGTCACATTTTCCCCACAGTGCATTCCGTGTACAGTATGGAATTTGAGCTAAGGAATGCCACAAATGTTTTCAGTGAACTTCCCCTAGCAATTCCTAATTGACAGAGAAGGATTGCTTTCCATGAAACTCAGCATCATCCAGAAGATACTGTATGGTAACTATAAATCAATATTATACCTTGGTGATGAAGGAGATGTTGATGGCAAGAAGGCCACATCTGGATCCAGGAAGATGCTGTCCTTGTGATTTTTTTTAAAGATGGTTTTTATTTTAGAATATATATATACATACATACATACATACATACATACATACATACATACANGGTGGCTTTTTGGAAGGCCGCGAGAGTGGGAAGGGTCCGGATCTCTGCAGATAAATCCTGAGTCTCACCTGTTTATTAACTTAAATCCAAGCAGATATCTAGATATCTGCAAAACTGAGAAGTCTAATATTTCTCTCTTGTTCAGACACAGACATTATTCATTAGTCATGAGAAGATCTGAGCTTTCTACAGACAGAAGTCAGTAGAACTACAAGTCAGACGGAAGTAACATAAGAGCAATTATTTCATGTATATATTGTTCACTAGCATAAGTAGCAACATTGTGCCCCCCCTCCCATCATTCATTGACTCTAGCTATGTTTTTTTCTTTAAAGAAAAAAAATCTATACAGGGAGCATTTTGTATCTCAGGAAAATCCCAAGTAATTTTAGATTAGATTTATTACTATGAAATAGTAAATAGAAACAATGAGTAGTTAGACTTGGTAGGGTTCATATATAAAGACATTTAGTAAGCCAAGACTAATTTACATACACGCATATTGTATATTAATAGATGTGCAGTCTTACCCCTTGAGAAAAACAGAAGGCAGCAATTCCCAGGGGCCAAAAACAGCAGAGCATTGAGAAAATGGCTAAGCCTAGGTGGTCTCGTGGAGGAAGCATCAGAAAATTATCTTCACTCTCGCTATCACTTGAAGAGTCACTCTGGAAAGTAAATTAATTTGAAAATAATGACCAATAGCAAACTGTAAGCTTGCCCCACAAAGCATCCAGCAGGACTAGAAATCCAAACACTATGCATTTTTAATGTTGTTGTCTTGACAACATACTGCATTTCTCCTGATACCTGGTAGGCAAATAATTTTCACCTGGCAGGAAACTTCCCAAATGAGGAATGTAGTATTGTCTCAATATTTTATTTATTTGGATGGATTAGGCAGATATGCCAGACTCTTCTAGACAGATGGAATAATAATAATAATAAAAGAGATCAAGATCTGAAAATGAATAGTTGAAACATTATGGCATAAATTGATTTCTGTGACTGGGTGCCATGTCAACCAACTGGGTGCCATGTCAAAAAACCTTGTATGGCACTTAGAAACCCTGTGCATTGATAACATTTCTATCAGTCAATTGCAAAAGGTGACACTGCTTAGACCCACATATGTACTGTGCTGATACATTGTGATATTGAAGGTTCTTGGGAAGAATTTGATGCATATGATGGGATTTCACATTTTTGAATATACAAGAATAATAAAAGATATGCATCAAGAAAGAACATATAAAACAGAACCAAAACATGCCACACAAAAACTTACAGGAGCTCACCTACCACCCTGTCCTAAGGCCTGGGAAAATAGCTAAGTTTTCAGTGCTTTATGGAACATCTTCAGGATGAGTATCATATTACTATTCCAGAGGGCAGGTGTTGCAACAGAGAAGGCAGTAAGTCCAGCCCAAACTCAAGTAATAGAGTCAATCTCCAGGCTCCAGGCTCCTTACCTGCCACATAACTGACATTAATATGAATAATCCTCTGAGAACAGAGATCTAAAAGATGGTATTTGGCATAGTCTTCACCACTGCTGTCTGTCTTAAAAATGAAAATACCTGGCATTTCCAGGGAAGTAGTTATGCTATCAGTAGGCTGACTGAGAAATTTTTCCTTGACTTCAGTCCAGTCTCTGTGACATGGCGTGTAGGCTTGCACTGCCTGAGCTGCCAAAGCTCACACATGGCCTGCCCCAGGCCTCCCAGGACCTCCTCCACCACCTAAGACACTGCTTGCATGGCTTCCCATTCTGTTGGGTTCCACACCCTTGGGCCTCCCCTATCACACCTTGCTCTACTTAGTTTTCCAAAGATCACCTTTCCCAATGAGAAGCAGCTGATTTACCATGTGGCCTTCTTAAACAGAGGTTGCCTGTTGCCCTCCTGTAGTGGCTGCTTCCATCTGGGATGACACCATGTGGCTTCCATAGGGAAGGTCATATGGTGATTTGGCTACTTCTCTTTCTAAAAGGCTACACAGCAGATTAGCTTACTCTCCTTGGGAAAGATGATCTTTGGAAAAGGTATATGCAGGGAGGCATGATAGGGGATTTTTCAATTAAAGCTGAAAACCTAAACACGATGAAGTAATAGGTTGAATAAAATAAGTAAAAATAATAAAACCTGAGCAGGAAGTTTTCAGGAGAAGCCTGCTTCAGAGTATGATCCTGGTAGAGAAGAATATCAATTCCTTGCTGTTTCCCAAATTTCCTGTTTGGTTAGATTCCAACGTTAGCAGAGAGTGCTGCAGGTATCTGATCAGAGGTGGGTTTCTGACGGCTCGCCCCGGATTGGGTGAACCGGTAGTGGTGGTGGTGGGAGGCTCCGCCCACCTGCCTGGATGCTTCTGCGCATGCACAGAAGTGTTGCACATGCACACGCGCACTAGGAAACTGATAGTAAAATAAATTGAAACCCACCACTGTATCTGATGCCTTGTAGGATTTTATTGGCCAAACTAGGACTATAAATTGTTGTCACAAATTTAGACCGTCCAGTGCAATATCGCAACGAAGATGCTGGGTTAAAAAAGGGGGCTTTTATTTGCTAACACACAGGTTCCTTTTTCTGCTGAATCTACCAACAGTTGCCTGCTTCTGTCATTCCATGACCAAGAAAAATATCTTCAGGATCAACCTTCTGGTCCTGCCAACCTGCAAATCTTCACTTATCCAACCATATATGTTTGATACTCTTGGGCAAGCATTAAAAAAAACACCACTTAGACTAGCCTTTTTCCCACTAACTCAAGCACCCATATCACTCTCATGCCTCACTTGCCATTCCTTCCATTAATAAGAATCTTTTCAGAAGCTCATCCTACCACTCTACTTTCACTGGAACTGACCAAGATGGATTTCTCTACCTCCCATTTCTTTTACTTGTGAAGAGATGCTTCTTTCTTGCCCAGTCTCTAAAACTGTGCATCATCAACCCACCAACATGTCCTTTGCCCCTCCCTATAATATTAAGTACCACACACCTCACTAACCAAAGTCTTTTCTAGTCTTACACAACAATAGTGGCTAAAAGCATAAAATGTGCCTGTAGGTAAACAAGTAATCAGAATACAAATCTAATCTAGTTCTAATGGTGTGTAAGGAAGGGGGAAAATTTAATGTTATATCAGGAGCAAAGATATTGAAATGCACGTCTTCAAATAATTGATTTCAATTTTTATGGGCAACTCTTTTAAGAAGTCCCATGATTTGAGCAGAAATCTGACCTCTAGGAAAATAAAAAAGGAAGATAATGCTAACAGCTTGAGTTGTACTATATTAGAGGACCTTTATTGCTTTTATAGCTTAGTGTCAAATATATGGGTTAGCAAAAAGTTCAGCTTCCTTCATCTGAACTTGTTTTCTAATTATTCATACTTAGTGTCACAATCTTTTGTTATTAAATAACTCCCTGTGAACTAGTAAAACAAAAAATTACAATGATAATAATAATAGTGATGATCATGGTAATAGCAATACAGAAACAAAGTAAGAACAGCATTCACTGCTGTCAGCTTCCACCCCTAATGCAAAGCAGTTGGCATCCTATTGATTTTTGTTTTTTCCCACTGAAACCTTCTTCTTCTGCATTACCTTGCTATAATATTTCTAGGACATCTATTATTACCTTGGCATTTAAGTACAGTAGCATTCTCAGCCTCCTAGTTTTCCTTTTATGAAGTATTTTGCAGTCCTTTCCTTCATACTTTCATTTGACCTTCTTTCCAGCTGCATTTTCATATACTTCCCCCACCCCTCCTTAATACTGTAGTGTCATACTGGGAGGAAAAATGGATTTTATAATTTCTGTATGCCATATCCTCTCATTCCCCTCAGTTAGAGGCAAAATGCTAACATTAAAAGTTCTTGAATTAAAAGGTATTTCTGTTTTTCCTCTCAAGCTGAATGCTCACTTTATTAGTCGGGGATTTGGGATTTCACTGGAAAATTATTTTTCCTGAGTATTGATAAAATGGAGCCATTTTTCATATTTAAGTACATTCCACATTTAGATTCTAAGGTCCTAAGCTACTAAAAAAAATCTTAGTCATGTTATTCTTAATTAATTATGCTTTAATTTCTAATTCTCTAAAATAAAGACAGATGTCTCTTGGGAAGAAACAGTTATTGTGTTATATATAATCTCTATTTTGTGTATTATTATTGTTTTTATATTAAACATTTAGAATTGTTATTTAAAAATTAGTCCTAAGAATGTGTACTCAGAAGTTTCTGAGTGTATATTATGAATGAATCCTTAGAAGTTTACCTCATATTCCTGCAATTCCTCTTCCTCTACTTCATAAGATACTGTCTGGATTTTGATATCATTTTCCATTAGAGATCTTCCCTGTGTTTCTTGCTCATCAGAAACATCAGCAGATGTGTCTTTGTTTTCCATGAAGGTTGTCTCACAATTGTCACCTTTGTTGTCCTTGACTTTGACACTGCTTTCATCCTTCACCAGAATGAAATTTGGACCATACAGCGCTTCAACAGCTAGTTGAAGAGAACTGGCATCCAACAACTGGTGTGTCCTTGCATTACCTGAATTTTGGAAGATATAGGAATATAATTTGCCATGACAACGATGACCATGGTAATCCTGGTGATAAGTACAGCTACCATGAAGGTGTCCATTGTTCTTGGACAACAGTGGATTCTGAAGTTCACTCACACTTTCCATTTTCCTTTAAAACTCAATGGCAGATGCTTCTAAGATAAATCAGTATTCTGAAAGAAAACAAACAAATAAAAGCCCAGTGATTCATAAACTGTAGAAATGAATTAAAGAATTCAGCAATGATTATATCTATAATAAAGAGAAGTCTGTACTAGTGGAAATCCAAGGACTGCAGTCAGATAGGTTCTAGGTTGTACTTGACCCTTAGCACCTGAGCAATGCTCTTTAGATAAAAATTGAGGAAGCTCCCTATCTAAACTAAACATCAACCTTCCTTTGTTTGTTCCTGTTCAAAAGTATCACTAAAAAGAATAAAATACAGAAGAACAAGTCATGATAAAAAGAAATCAACATGGTTTTCAGAGAGGAAAATCATGTCATACTAACCTTTTTGCTTTTTTGAATGTCAGTGTAGACATGGATGATCAAAGAGTTATATGCTTGGAATTTTCAGAAAGCCTTGGACAAATCTCAAGTACCACGGGATTGTAGAGCATCTGATTAAAAAAACAGAAAGGAGGAATACATGGACACTTTTCAGATGAGATTATAAAGTGGGTTTTCTCATAAAATTATATTGTGGTTTGTTACATTCTCCCTCCCCCTCCCTCCCCCCCTCTCTCNCCCCACTTTACAGGGCTAATCCTGTAAGGAAGGCAGGAAGGAAACATTCTGGTGTTGTTTCTAGCCTAATCTTTATCGCCCTGCTTACAGAAACTCCCTCTCCGGTTAACCCTTATTACATTGTAACAGCTAAGGCAAAGCATGGGTCGATGTGAGTGACGTTGAGTTGACCACACCCACCCAGTCACATGACCACTGAGTCCCACCTACTCAGCTGGTCATTAGGGCAGAGAATCGGTTGTTAAGTTATTTGAATCCCACCACTGGCTCAGCCTAAGATCAGAAGATCCTTTTCACCCACCCAAAGGAAGGGGAAAAAAACCCAACACCTAGCTCAGTATTTTATGCACTCTGGCCCACCCTTTACAACTGAGTAACTATGAAAATAATGATGATCCAAAGTAAAATCATGTAAGCACATATCGTTTCCCCCATTCTGTTGGAAGAACTTCTGGTTAATGAGTTTGACCTCAGAGAAGTATTGAGATCATGGGCTCAGCAAAACCAATGTTTTTAGGTCACTCCCTGGCTTATCCCTGCCTTGAAAGTTGAAATTTCTTTTCACCCTGTCCATGAGTTTAGAAAGGGGTTTTTATTTTAAAGGAAAAAAGGGGCTTATCAACTTGCATTGTACTTGTTCCCATGGGAGGAATCCAAAGAAAGAGCCGGAACAAAGGAAAAAAGCTAGGAATAGCACAGGTATCGACAAATCACTACAAATCCTGGTCAAAGTGGAAAATGAAAACAGCGGGGCGCATAGAAGCTGAGATTGATGAGAAAATGTTTGATGCGGGCTTCACTGCTGTTGATAAAGGACTGCGCTATGATCGAGCAATGGCTTCACTTCAGGCAAAGTAAAGAGATTAACAATGAGGCAAAGCTTGGCCTTTGATCCCCCAATATTGTTGTTAGGCAGCCATGATTCCAGCTTTCATCTAGCAAAGTACTTTCCACTCTATTCAAAATAATTATTTTTCCCCAAGCACTTGTGAGGGAAGGGCACATGACTTGGATTTTGTTAACTTGCTAACTAACATAGTGAGGACATGGTGGCTCAGTGGCTAAGACATGGAGCTTGTCGATCAAAAAAGGTTGGCAGTTCGGCGTTTCGAATCCCTAGCGCCACATAATGGAGTGAGCTCCTGTTACTTGTCCCAGCTTCTGCCAACCTAGCAGTTCAAAAGCACGTAAAATGCAAGTAGAAAAATAAGAACCACCTTTGGTGGGGAGGTAACAGCATTCTTTGCGCCTTCAGCATTTAGTCATGCCGGCCACATGACCCCTTTACAAAGTAACTATGTTAGGTAAAAGGTTCCCCCCTCACACAAATGTGCTAGTTCTTCCTGACTCTAGGGGGCGGTGCTCATCTCCAGTTCAAAGCCGAAGAGCCAGCGCTGTCCGAAGACGTCTCTGTGGTCATGTGGACAGCATGACTAAATGCCGAAGGCGCACGGAACGCTGTTACCTTCCCACCAAAGTGGTCGCTATTTTCCCAAAGTGGTCAGCGTCTTCACCACTGAGCCACTGCATCCCTGCATATACAATAGAATTTGACAAATGGCAAAATCTTTGAGATGGAAATTATAAATTTACAATGGCAACTGCGTATAAGGAAAACTTACCGTATTTTTCGGAGTATAACACGCACCAAGGTTTTGAAGAGGCAAATAAAAAAAAAGATTTTTGCACTCTGCAAACCTCCCAAAAATGAGCCTGCCCCCCCCCCACAAAAAAGGCATGAATAGCCTTTAGGGGGCTTGCAGAGTGCTCCGGGGGGGGGGCAAAAACAAGCAAAAAACAGTCCATTTTTCACGAAAACGGGCCCGTTTTTCATAAAAAAAGAAAGGCATGGATAGACTTTAGAAAGCGTATAGAGTGCTCCTCGGGGGCTGGGGGAGGAGATAAAATTGAGCAAAAACGGCTTACATGGCCATTTTGGTGAAGGGGGGGTTCGGGACGCAAAAAATGCTGTATTCAGTGTATAAGACGCAAACAGATGTTCAGCCTCTTTTTTGAGGGGAAAAGGTGCGTCTTATACTCCAAAAAATGCAGTACATAAAATGTTTTACAGGTGGCATTTACCACCGGCAAGGCTAGCAAAGATGTTCAAAAACTTGCCCGACAAATGTTGGAAATGCAATCAGATCAGTGGTGGGTTCCACCTAGAAGTCGGGAGCAGTGGCCCCCGTACCAATACCGTGGCGTTTGGCCCACCTGCCCGCCCTGGTTCCATACCTGCTTTTGAAGCAACCGGGCCAATTGCGCACATGTGCATAGCGTGCGACACCTGCATGACCTCCAATGAACATCTGGGTGTCACAGGGGCAATGGAGTGTGCATGCTTGCGCAATGCACATGTCCGGCGCGTGCATGAACAGACCACAAGCAGCGTATTGGTAGCGACGGTAAAAGCTACCCACCACTTTTTGCCCAAAGGCAAAAAAAAAAATGGACAAAAATACATACATGGCTAGAGAAAATGATAAAGCAACATATAGATTTAAAGCCAGAAATATTTTTGTTAGGTACATTAGCAGAAAAACATGACAAAGCGGTTGTATATTTAATATTACAGGTGTTGACAGCAGCAAGAATTGTATTTGCACAATATTGGAAAAATGAGGACATTCCTACAGATGAAAACATAATTTAAAAAGTATTAGACTGTGCAGAAATGGGCAGGCTAACGTTAAAGATACAGGAAAAAGAAGATACAGAATATTTTTTAACATGGGATTTTTTATAGATGGTTAGACAATAAAGGTAGAAATTAGAAGTTGGAAGAATACCACTATATACCAGTAAATATTGTTGTTATTATTGATACTATGTATAAGTAAATTGACTGTTTATTAAGCATTCATCTGTGTTAAAGAAAACTGTACAAATAAAATTTATTCCTAAAAAAGGAGTCAATTGAAGTTTAGCAGCTATAGTAAATTTGAATAAAGAAATACTTTTTTACATCCGAGTGTAAAAAAAATAATGAATGGATGCAATCGCTAGGAGTTAAGCTCAATTTGAAAATATCTTTATAAACCTCAATTTACAAACCTCAATTTAGCCCTAGGCATTGACTGATTCTGACTCTTTCAATGAATATCATGCTTCAGTTTGCCTTATTTTCTGACTGTGATGTTCTTCCAGGGCCGGTCAGCCAAAGAGCAATGGATGGCAGGACCACTCCTGTCCCGAAATCATTCCATGGAAGAGGAATTTGAACGTGCTAAAGCTGCAGTTGAGGTATTCCTTGGCATTTCAAGAACTAGTACAATTGGAATGAGAAATCATCTCCTGCAATAGGCCCCTTGCCTTCCACTCAACTCTGGACATTGATTAAAAACACAATGTGATAATGAGCCATCTAAACTATAGTAGTGTTATACTATAGTAGTGCCCCCCTCCCCAAAAAAAGAATGAAATATTTTGGAGAATATTAAAAAAAAAACATGCTCTTAAAAGACAGAAAGCAGATTCAATCTCCCAGCCCCTGAACAGAAACTGAGGAGGCAGCTTTTTNGAGCTCCGCATAGGCATCAGGAAGGGCATCCAGCCAGTAAACTCTCAACTCCATTCAATCACCCTGACTCCCCACCCCCACCCCGATGCAAGGGATTACAGGGCCATGAAAAGGAAAAAAAAACATCAGGCTAATGCAACTTCAGTTGTGTTAATGGACAACTGCTGACCCTATCAGGAACTCTACTCATTCCTATACCCATACAAGAATAATGCAATGTTTCCTTTAAGGAATAGATTTTACTCTCTTTGAATACTGAAGGCTGCTTTGACACAAGAATTCCTAAAAGGAGGAGAGGGATCGCTTTTGTCCTCTCAGTATAGAGCAGGATTAAGAATCCAAGGATCCCTTTTTCCATTTTTGTGGTCCTTCAAACTCCTCTGTGCAACACACACACCCCTGTGCATGCGCATGTGAGCCCCATTTTTTACCCATGATGGACCCGTTTTTCGTTCTCCCTAGGCTCCAGAGGTTTTCAAGTGTTGTTTTCCACCCTCCAGAGGCTTCAAGGAAGCTTGAACTAAGTAATTGAATTGAACTAGCAATTAAATTTTACAAGGAATTAAAAAGGAAAACAAAAGTTAGTATATACCTCAATTGTGGAATGAAGAATCAGAATATCCAGTTTTCAAACTTCAATGGTCCAGGTACCAAGCCATGCCCACAGAACTGGTAGTAAAAAAAATGAATTTCACCACTGCTTCACGAGCACAAGAAAATACAATGCATGAAAAATAAGGTGACACCCATTAAAAAAGTAAACCTTGGGCCCACTTTAGAGCAATACCTTCATTAACAGAACTGAACATCTCTTTAAATTGGCTTGGTAAAAATATTGCCTTAAGGATAGGCAATAAAATGTTACAACACTTTCCTGTTTACAGAAAACTAGTTAGATTTCTTGTACCCTAGTGAGACAAACTGATTTATTCAGATGTATTAATTCTCTTGAAAACTATCCCACTTTCATTTTTCAAACTACTTTTCTTTTTGAGAAGTCATCGAGAAAATATTCATCTTGCCGAAGTCAGGCGATAAAAATATATTTAATTGCTCAAAATGTCAGTGGATGGTTGAAAATGTAAATGTTAATGAAGGTTTTTAATTTGGGAGGTTGAGTGTCTGTGCATTTATTTTTGATTGATCAACACGACCAGGAGGAAATTAGTCTTAGCTGTGGAAATGAAATCAATCAATTAGTTGTGGCATATACAGTACAATAATTCCTCCCCACCCCCCCACTCAACCTTTGCCATTTCTTTATTACATTTCTTCTTCGGAATGGGAGTTAAAATGCAATGCAGGTTTATAAAACTGAATTAAATGTCAGGGAGGGCAGAGCCATTTTAG